CCGCTCGGCTGCGGGTTCGCCCTGCCCCCGGGCCGCCGTGAGGCCGGCGTGCCCTGCGCTCTCCGCCCGCCTCCAACCCTGCGGGCCCTCCGCCTTGGGGCTGAGAGTGCGGGAACGGCCCTCACGCATGTTCACTTCTTCAAATCTGGCCCTCTTTGAAAAAAGTTTGGACACCCCTGCTCTAGTCAGACAGGGAGAATCCCTCGCCGGCTTGGCGAGCCGGAAGTGGAGCCGTAGGAATTATTTTACCTTCGAATTGATGTAGATCATGTTTGTGGGGGCACTCCCAGCTGATTGATTCTGGGTGATGAACATGAGCAGAAGCAGAAGCAGGTTCAGGTGCAGAAGCAGGGGCAGTTTCAGAAGGAGCAGCCATTGCAGCTCAACGCTCTCCTTCCGAACAGCTAGGGAGAAAAAACCGACAATCCCACAGATTTACTCACCGTCCTCTGCTTGTGCACTCTAAAGGTATCAGAGCTCCAAAAGCGGTCACCTTCCTGGTGCATGGAGGGGGCAGAGGAGGGGTGTTTCTCTGCCCCTGGAGCAGGGAGGCGAGACCTACAGCTGGGTGTGTAGGAGCAGATGCCTGCAGCTCTGGACTCTTGGTGGAGGGAATACCCTGTACTAGACCATCCCTGGCAGGTGTCTGTCTAACCTGCTGTTAAATATCTCCAGAGATGGAGATTCCACAACCTCCCTAGGCAACTTATTCCAGTGTTTAACCCCCCCGGCACGTAGGAAGTTTTCTCTAATGTCCAACCTAAACCTCCCTTGCTGCCGTTTAAGCCCCTTGCTTCTTGTCCTGTCCTCAGAGGCCAAGGAGAACAATTTTTCTTCCTCCTTCTTATAACATCTTTTTAGATACTTGAAAACTGCTTTCCTGCTTTCCTGTCCCCTCTCAGGCTATTTCTAGACCATGGGGCTGTGTCTAGACTGGCAAGTTTTTCCGCAAAATCAGCTGCTTTTGCGGAAAAATTTGCCAGCTGTCTACACTGGCCGCTTGAATTTCCGCAAAAGCACTGACGATCTCATGTAAGATTGTCAGTGCTTTTGCGGAAATACTATGCTGCTCCCGTTCGGGCAAAAGTCTTTTTCTGAGAAACTTTTGCGCAAAAGGGCCAGTGTAGACAGCACAGTAGTGTTTTCCGCAAAAAGGCCCCTATCGCGAAAATGGCGATCGGGGCTTTTTTGCGGAAAACCACGTCTAGATTGGCCACGGACGCTTTTCCGCAAAAAGTGCTTTTGCAGAAAAGCGACGCACTTTTCTGAAAATGCTTTTAACGGAAAACTTTTCCGTTAAAAGCATTTCCGGAAAATCATGCCAGTCTAGACGTAGCCCAGGGTTATTGCAGGATATCCAGGATTTTTCACGGAAAAGCAAACGCGCTCTTTCACAAGGCATAAGGGCTCTGCTGAAAGAGGAGGCTTTTCCTCCATGACAAACGCGCTCTTTCACGAGACATAAGGGCTTTTCCTCCATGTGGCCCTGTCTAGATGGGTCCATGTGGTGGAAAAGCCTCTTCTGGAAAAGTAATATGAAAAAGCGATGCAAATTGTGGAATGCACATTGAGTAGCTTTTTCCAATAAAGCCTTGAAGTCTGGACCTCACCTCAGTCTTCTCTTTTCTAAACTACATAAGCCCAGTTCTTTCAGTCCCCGCTCATCGCTTGGGGGTGGGAGTGGGCACGCTAGCGGCCCAGCCACAGGCTACACTTCATTTCACTACAAACTTTGAGGTAAGTATTTGTGAGTGGCCAACAGGAGGGCCAGGAACCCAGCCTGGGCAGGTCATGATGCAAATATTAAAAGTGCAATAATTATGAAGGGCCACATCTTGAGTTTTACCACCTTCCCTGCACTATTTCCTGTCACTAAAGTGTGTGTGTGTGTGTGTGTGTGTATGTGTGTGTGTGTGTGTGTGTGTGTGTGGTGGGGAGTCAGAGGACTCCGCTTCCTGTCCGTACCCCCCACATCCTGCTTCCGCAGTCAGATGTGGCTTTCAGCCAGCAGGTAGGTGCATGAGTCAACAGGGATGCAGCACAGACAGTTTTCTATGCGTCCGGTTTCACCCGGACTGTCCAGTATTCGAGTCCCCTGTCTGGTAAAAAAAAATGTCCCGTATTTCGTGTTGCCCTTGGATAGAAGGCCAGCAGGGACCATTTTCTCCTGCTGCATGTGGCAGGAGTGGTGGAATGAGGAGCAAACAGCCGTTTAAAGGCACAGCGACCTTTTTTTTTTCCCTGGGTCAACAACTTTGGTCTCCCAGGTTTTTTTTTTCTTTGTTTGTTTACCCATGTTTGGGATTTTTGTTGAAAGCATCTGGCATCCCTAAGCGCAGAACAAACGTCTCACCACGGAAAAGAGGAACGTTGGGTAAAATCCAATTTTGGGAAGGGGGAAGACAGAGACAGGGCCCTGATTCTGGGCCCGAAGTCAGTCATGACTAAACCACTTACAACAGCCTGGCCCCAATCCCATCCTAGGCTTATCTTGCTGCTCAGGACCAAAGGAGTCCCCGGCTATGTCCACATTGCTTCGGGTGCAGTGTAGACGCAACGGGTTCCACCCTCGCCAGGGCTTCCCCAATATGTTCATGCAGCAGCTGGGGATCCTCCCTCACACCTCAATTCCCAACACCCCTGGTGACTTCACAGGGACTTACCAGTGCTGGGATCCGGTGAGAGGCGGCCTTGCTGCGATTTCCGGGGGCTGGGACCGCGCTCCTCTTCCGAGCCGGGTTCCAGAAGCTCTTTGGGTGTCTCGCCTTCTGGGCTGGTTCCCTGCTTGCTGACTGGACTGTGTCTTCAATCCAGCCTGTTCTCTAGCGATGGGTCTTCCCCTGTGGAGATAGGAGAGGTTCCTACTTGCTCCTTCTGGGCAGTGGGGGAAGGAGAGCTGTGCCCACAGACGCGAAACCCGTTGTTTTATATAGATGCTGAGGAGAGGGAGGAAAACGCCTCTGACAGGAGAGATGCCAGATTCCCACCCACTATTGCTGCTTCAGCAAAGAGACGTGTGCCAATTGCCTTTTCACAGATATGGGACGAATCTCCTTTAATTGCCGGGTGTTCCCTGGGAGGGGAGAAGGAGAGTCAGGGAGCGGGGCAGGATTAAGAGCACCTGCATTCAGCAATTAAAATCAAGGGCGGGGGGGAGGGGAATCTAAGGTGCGGGGACTGGATCCGCCCTCCAAATTGGGTATCTCACACCAGCATCACTGAGACCTCTCATCCCCTAGCCTGGTCCTGAACCCACCCGAGAGCTCCCAATCCTCAGCCTGCTCCTGCACCCTTTCCACCCAGTCTCCCCCCCCTCGACTTCCACTTCTCTCCTGCACCCTTCTTGCCACCCAGACCCCGTACCCACACTTTGCTCCTGCACCCCTATCTGCCTCAGACCCCTCATCCCCAGCCCTCTTCCTGGTCACCCTCATTTTTGGCCTCACCCCAGAGCCCAGACTCTCTAGGTTCTGGTGTGTGGCCCCAGAGTGATTTCCTTGTGGGTGAGCGACCCCCAAACCAAAAAAGGTTCTGTACCTGATTTAGGGTTCCAGCAATTAAAAGATGGGGTCATGTGACCCATCTGGGGGCATGTGAACCCCCATGAGCAGCATTCCCTGCAAGCTGCACGCTTGGGATTCCAAGGAGAGAGTCCAATGCCACCTGGCTGATTAGCAGAGGGCCCCCAGCCAGCAGCGAGTGTTTCTATTGGTGGTGCACATCTGCACACACCTCAGTGCACATGACAAAATTTATTCTGCACATGGTTGGAAAAAAATAGGGGTAACACTGCCCGTGCTCCCCAAACCTTCCCACATACCACTTGTGCTCCATGGCCTGGAGTGTCTTGCGTGTTCTCTTTTAGTAGAGCTGTTTGGGTCATTTTTACAGACTTCTGGAGAGAGAAGAGCCTGAAGATGCGTGAACCTCTAAGATCAGAAAGGGCCATATTTATCCCAGGGGTTAATCGCACTGAAATCAATGGTGATCCCCCAGGAAGGACTCTGGTCCTCAGTCTCTGGTGAAAGACTCATGGCAAATCAGGAGAATACAAACTACCCACCCGACATGACTTGGTGGAGGGAGAAGCCAGCGGTTGTCTTCCCCAGAGATGCCAATCGGCGCTGGATCCCGGCAATGGCACATGATGTTGTCCGGGCACCATGTAATTTCTGGGTCCCGGATCACATAGGTGATCGACAATTTTTATGAACGGACATGGGACGCAAGGGGGAATTAGCTCAAGTAGTACAGTTCTTGTTTTGCCTGCCAGAGGCAGTGAGGTTGATGCCTGTATTCTCCAGTGCTAAGGAGTCCTTCTTCATTCTTTAAATATCTAAAAGGGTGTTCCAAGGAGGAGGGAGAAAAATTATACTTCTTGGCCTCTAAGGACAAGAAGCAAGGGGCTTAAAAGTAAAAACATCCGAAACCATCCACTCCATGTGCAGCGGCAGTCAAAAAAGCAAACAGAATGTTAGGAATCATTGAAAAAGGGATAGAGAATAAGACAGAAACTATCTTTGTGCCAGGTCAACAAGTCTTCCTGGATTCTCAAAATGAGTCTCCATCTGGAAAAGGTTGGGAACCACCGCTCTATATAAAACCATGGCAGGCCCACATCTTGAATAGTGCGTACAGATGTGGTCTCGTCATCTTAAAAAAGGTATCTTGGCACTGGAATAGGTTCAGAAAAGGGAAACTATAATGATTAGGGGTTTGGAACAGGTCCCATATGAAGAGAGATTAAGAAGGCTTGGACTTCCCAGCTGAGCAAAAAAAGACTGACGGGGGTGGAGGGGGATATGATAGAAGTTTATAAAATCATGAATCATGTGGAAAAAAGTTAACACGATTTAGATATTGGTGTGGAGCAGTGGTCTCCAACCTTTTTATACCCAAGATCACTTTTTAAATGACAGACCAAGCCAAGATCTACCGCCCCGCCCCTTCCTTGAAGCCCCTCCCTCTCTATTCTCCTCCTCTCCATCACTTGCTATCCCCAATCCTTATACTGCTACTTAAAAAAAACAAAATTCCCATCATTCCTCGCAGCTACTCACCTGTGCTGTTGCTCGGTGAGTAGCTGCTCCTCAAATGAGGAAATCTAATGTAAAGGTACTGCACAGGCGCGCAGTTCAGAGAGGGCTCAAGAGCTACTCTTAGAGCCTCCGAGATCTACTGGTAGATCGCGATCTACTGGTTGGTGACCATGGGTATAGAGTACGCTCGTTAAGTTTGCAGATGATACCAAGCTGGGAGAGATTGCGACTGATCTGGAGGATAAAGTCATAGTTCAACATGACCTGGACAAATTGGAGAAATGGTCTGAGGTAAATAGGATGAAGTTGAATGAGGAGAAATGCAAAGTGCTCCACTTAGGAAGGAACCATCAGTTTCATACATACCGAATGGGAAGTGACGGTCTGGGAAGGAGTACGGCAGAAAGGAATCTAGGGGTTATAGTGGACCACAAGTTGAATGTGAGTCAACAGTGTGACGCTGTTGCAAAGAAAGCAAACATGATTCTGGGCTGCATTAACAGGTATATTGTGAGCAAGACATGAGAAGTCATTCTTCCGCTCTGCTCTGCGCTGGTTAGGCCTCCTAGTTCTGGGCACTTTGGAATCCCAAGCATGCAGCTTGCAGGGAATGCTGCTCATGGGGGTTCACATGACCCCATCTTTTAATTGCTGGAACCCTAAATCAGGTAGGGAACCTTTTTTGGTTTGGGGGTCGCTCACCCACAAAGAAATCACTCGGGGGCCACACACCAGAACCTAGAGAGTCTGGGCTCTGGGGAGAGGCCAAAAATGAGGGTGACCAGGAAGAGGGCTGGGGATGAGGGGTCTGAGGCAGATAGGGGTGCAGGAGCAAAGTGTGGGTACGGGGTCTGGGTGGCAAGAAGGGTGCAGGAGAGAAGTGGAAGTCGAGGGGGGGGAGACTGGGTGGAAAGGGTGCAGGAGCAGGCTGAGGATTGGGAGCTCTCAGGTGGGTTCAGGACCAGGCTAGGGGATGAGAGGTCTCAGTGATGCTGGTGTGAGATACCCAATTTGGAGGGCGGATCCAGTCCCCGCACCTTAGATTCCCCTCCCCCCCGCCCTTGATTTTAATTGCTGAATGCAGGTGCTCTTAATCCTGCCCCGCTCCCTGACTCTCCTTCTCCCCTCCCAGGAAACACCCGGCAATTAAAGGAGACTCGTCCCATAACTGTGAAAAGGCAATTGGCACACGTCTCTTTGCTGAAGCAGCAATAGAGGGTGGGAATCTGGCATCTCTACTGTCAGAGGCGTTTTCCTCCCTCTCCTCAGCATCTATATAAAACAACGGGTTTCGCGTCTGTGGGCACAGCTCTCCTTCCCCCACTGCCCAGAAGGAGCAAGTAGGAACCTCTCCTATCTCCATAGGGGAAGACCCGTCGCTAGAGAACAGGCTGGATTGAAGACACAGTCCAGTCAGCAAGCAGGGAACCAGCCCAGAAGGCGAGACACCCAACGAGATTCTGGAACCCGGCTTGGAAGGGAAGCGCCTTATTGCCTTTATAGAAAACCATTTGTCACTCACCTCTTGAATACTTCATACTGATGTGCTCGCCGCATCTCAAAAAGGATATGTTGGCACTGGAAAAGGTTCAGAAAAGGGAAACTATAATGATCAGGGGGTTGGAACAGGTGCCATATGAAGAGAGATTTAAAAGATTTGGAGTTCCCAGCTTAAAAAGGGGGAGACTAAGGGCGGATAGGATAGAGGTCTATAAAATCATGAGGGATGTGGAAAAAGTGAATAAGGAAAAGTGATTTACTTATTCCCGCAATATAAGAACTAGGAGTCACCAAATGAAATGAATAGGCAGCGGGTTTAAAACAAACAAAAGGAAGTTTCTCTTCACTCAGCACACAGTTAACCTGTGGAACTGCTTGCCAAAGGATGTGGTGAGGACTAGGACTTTTAACAGGGTTCATAAAGGAGCTAGGTAGATTCATGGAGGTTAGGTCCATTAATGATTATTAGCCAGGATGGGTAGGAATGGTGTCCGTAGCCTCTGTTTGTCTGGAGGTGGGTGACAGAGGAGGGATCACATGAGGATTATCTGTTGTGTTCCTTCTGTCTGGGGAACCTGACAGTGGACACTGTCGGCAGACAGGATTCTGGTCTAGATGGACTTGTGATCTGACCCAGTATGGCCGTTCTTATGTTCTTAAACTGCAGCAAGGGAGATTTAGGTTGGACATCAGGAAAAGCTTTCTATATGTCAGGATGGTGAAACACTGAAATAAATTGCATAGGGAGGTTGCGGCATCTCTGACATTGGAATTATTTGATAGAAAGTCAGATAGGCATGTCAGGGACGATCTAGATCCGTGCTGTCCAACCAGTTAGCACACTAGTCACAATCTGAAAATGTGAATAATGTTGTGAGCCAACTAGCCAAACTCAGCCAGCCAAATAATCACATGTGGCTAGTGGCCAGCGCATGTGGATACCGCAGATCTAAACAGTGCTTGGCCCTGCCATGGAGGCTGCGGCCTGGACTTGATGACCTCTTGTGGTCCCTCCCAATGCTCGGGTTCTGTGATTCTGTGAGTCCCTAGGTCCAGGATATGAACCACACAGGCCTGGCGAAGAGCCCTGCGTAGCTAAAAACGTGAATCTTTCGCCACAGGGTATTGCCTAACAAAAGTCACTGGTTCAGCCCGCTGTCCCGCTGCAATATTTTGTCAATTTCAGAGGGGTAGCTGAGGTAGTCTGTGATAGGAAAACCTTAAAAAACAATGAATAGTCTAGAAGAGCGTTACCCTAATGGTGTTCCGCGGAAGTGGAAATAAGGGTTCTGAGAGGAAATTCCATTCCAATCTTATTTTATGATTAAAAAATAATAATGATGAATATTATGTGAATTTTGTTTTTAAATATGTGCAATGAAACTCTATGTTGATCTCATGACCCTGTTTAGCCATTGTTTATTATTATCCTTCCTTATTTGTGCTCTACTTTTTCAGCTCCATATTTTAGACTGGAATTAGGGGCTCTGCAAAATTCTTTTGAGTTTAAAAAGGTCCTGTGGCCAAATAAAATTAGGAAACACTACGCTAGTAGCACCTTAAAGATAAACAAAACATGTAGGCGGTATCATGAGCTTTGGGATGTGCCCACAGAAGTTCGTGATACCATCTCCATGTTTTGTTAGGCTGTAGGGCGCTAGTAGACTCTTCAGAGCAGAGGCTGCAGGGTCTCTCTGCCACTATCTAGTGATGAGCTGGGGGAGAAGACATTAGGAACTGGCCTTGGTTGGGTGGAAACACCCGCCCTGGACTCAAGATGATGGAACTGCTTTGCCCAAACCATCACTTTTGGATTGCAAGCTGCTTTGTGGCGGGGGGTGGGAGGTGGAAGAGAGGGAGGGCAATAAAGTGTCACCTTGTGTGATGCAAGAGCAGCCGCTGGTGTGACTAGTGGGGAGGGACACAAAGGGGGTCCGCACGCCCTCTCCTTCCCCACATGACCCTTTTCCACACCCTCCTCCCTGAGTCCGCCTGCCCTCCCCATCCTACATTACATGGGATAAGTCATCAGAAAGTGTCCCAGACAGCAAAGCTGAAGCCTGCCTGGGGAGAACACAGCAACCAGGCATTGTGGTGGGAAAAGGAGAAGCTCTCGCCTCTCCAGTTTCTGGACCCTTGTCCCCCACCTCAGCCCCTCCAGCCTTTTGGGGAGGGTTACATGACCCTTGCAGTCCCCACACACCCCATGCGGTGTCCCTGGGCAGCAGAACCTTGCCTTGATTGCGGGGTTTGCACTAAACTGGAATCTAAACTTACTAAGCAGGAAGTAGATGTGCCAACACCCAGTGGAGATTAGAGAGGGTGGGGACAGGTGTTTGTACCTGGGCGTAAGCTCTGCCTAAGAGGTCTAGATACCATGTGACCCTTTTGTCTTCCATTTTTAATAAGAGGAGGATTTAATGGCAGCATTGGAGAGGGCCCAGCGGAGGGCAACCCAAATGATGCGGGGGCTTATGCGGAGAGGCTGAGGGATTTGGGCTTGTTTAGTCTGCAGAAGAGAAGTGTGAGGGGGGAGGGGGGATTTGACAGCAGCCTTAAAGCGAGGTTCCAAAAAGGATGGAGCGGGGCTGTTCTCAGTGATGGCAGATGGCAGAACGAGAAGCAATGGATTCCAGTTACAGTGGGGGAGGTCTAGGTTGGATAGTAGGAAAATTTATTTCCCTAGGAGGGTGGAGAAGCGCTGGGATGGGTTCCCTAAGGAGGGGGTGGAATCTCCATCCCTAGAGGTTTTTAAGTCCCTGCTTAACAAAGCCCTGGCTGGGATGATTTAATTGGGGTCAGTCCTGCTTTGGGCAGGGGTTTAGACTCATCTTCCATGATTCTATGATTTGATTTATCTATGGCTTGTGTTATACAGAAGTTCCTTAGCACATAGATTACCTGAGCATCCGAGCCCAGCCCTGGATTTAACAACAGGCCACTAATGTTCTCATGACACTAGTGTTTCAAGTGGGGTAACATGATGCCTCCCTGTACTAACCATATTCGTAACCCTCATCCACTAGCTATTAAAGTTGAGCAGTGTTTTAAAATGTACACAATGGGCTTAAATTGCAGCAAGGGAGGTTTAAGTTGGACACTAGGGAAAAGCTTCCTAACTGCCAGGGTGGTTAAACACTGGAATAAGTTGCCTAGGGAGGTTGTGGAATCTCCATCTCTGGAGATATTTCAGAGCAGGTTGGACCGACACCTGTCTGGGATGGTCTAGACCGGGACTAACCATCATGTGGCCCACATGGAATGCGGCCACAGCCTGTTCGTTTGTGGCCCACGGTGCGGTCTCGGTTTACATGGGGCTCAACACGCAGCCGGCAGGTGGGAGCCAACACAAAAAAAAATGTCAATATAATGGTCTTCTTTTGCTATGTGTTTTAGTAATTACATTCCTGGACTGTCATTTCTCATGAAAAGTGCTGTCACGTGGATGGAAATGAGGTAACGATTGCATTTTCTTAATATCAGCAGAACTGACTTAATGAGGCCTGTGTGTTGTGTAGTTTTGCCTTAATCTTTGTATCATGCCAGCCAATGTGAAATTAACTATTTGCATATATTTGCATATATTTGCATGCCTATGCAGCCAGACTTTACTTGTGGCCCTCGGCATGTGCTGTGAGTAGCATTGTGGCCCCCGGGGTTTCCAAAGTTGAGTAGCCCTGGTCTAGACAGTGGACTGGATTCAACGACTTCTCGAGATCCCTTCTAGTTCTAGGTATTTTATGATTCCGTGATTCTTTGTACCTCTTCTTTGCTACTTCCTGTGTCCCGTTTCTTCCCCTCGACATACTTTCATTATACACGCACAAATGTACTTCTCAGGGTAAATACCGGGGCTAGTTTCTTCCCTGACACATTTTCTAAAGCAAGGATGGGCAATCATTTTTCATAGGGGGGCCACGCCAAGATTTTGGTAAGGGGTCATGTGCCATGCTTTTCTATGGAGGGGGTGCAGGGTCTGGGATGGAGACTGGGTGCAGAAGGGAACTTGAGGAAGGGGGTTGGGGTGCAGGAGAGGGTGTGGGGTCTGAGAGGGAGGTTGGGTGAACAAGGGGATTGTGACCTAGGCAAGGGATTGAGGTGCAGGGTTAGGGAGGAGGGATGGGTGCAGGAGAGGAGTCTGGTCTAAGGGAGGAGTATCGGAGGGGGTGCAGGGTCTGGGAGGGGATTGTAACCTGGGGCTGGGGAGAGAGCAGAGGGTTTGGTTGGTGACGTGGGGTGTGGTTTCCAGCCAATGGGAGCCGAGAGATCGTGTTGGGAGCAGGGGCAGCGTGTGAAGCCTCTTTCCCCCACTCAGATGGTGCAGAAAGGCACATGAAGCAGCCAGCCGTATTTGAGTGGCACGGACCTGCTTCTTGTCTGAGGGTCTCAGCATGGCAGGCCAGATTGAACATGTTGAGTTGGATCTCACCCACAGGCGGTATCTTCCCCACCCCTGTTCTAAAGTCATCAGGCTTCAAAAGTCGGATCCTTTGTTACAAATTAGGTCATCACGTGCAATATGGAGGATACATTCAGAGCCAATAAAAGACATAACGGGCACAAATGTTTATTGCCAACTCATCAAGATATCTGCCCTGTACAGAAAAAGCAGGACTAGCGAATCACACGAGGAACAGATGTTTGCTTAAAATAATAATAATAGTAATTAATAATAAAGTAGCCAACATAAAAAGCCCTGTAGGGGAATAGAGACTGGGTCTGATTTTATTTTATTCACCAGTGGGCTCATTTCACGCTTATTCCATCATCTGATTACTGTTGGGAGAGCCCTCGCCCACTACTTGTCTCATTCGCTAAGCTATATACACGGGAAAAGATACAGGGCAATCCAGCACAGGACGTATCGTTAGTTAGCATCACTCTTGCATTTTTTGTAGCCAGTCGCTTTCATATCATGCATCAAACAGTGCAGAAGAGAGACCTAAATGGAGCTTCCAAGCATCTGTTTCATTGGAGTTTCATTTGGCTAATAAACTCAGTGGAAAACAACTTTCCACTTCTACTAGCAAGGATTTCAAAAGGGCTCTCTCATGCTACAAACGAGAACTTGCTGGAAAGAGCCAACTTTCTCTCTCTGAAATATCCATTGAAGTGGGAGGGCTGGACAGGTGAACGCTGTAGGAGAATTTGGCCCAGTTACATAACAGACTCAAAGCTGGGCTTCCTGCCATTAAAATCTACTATCTATTTTGAAGAGTTTGTTTGTGCAAAATGAAGCCATACTTGGTGATTACTGATGGATGCATACACTGGGTTACCCTCCCCCTTCCAACGCTTTGCTCTCAAATTCAACCTTCATTTCACTAGGGTCCCCCTTCTAGTCCACCCTTTCTGGCTTCCCCTTCTCTACTGACCAATTCCTTCATCAGCATCTCCATTTCCTCTTTCCCCATTTTTTTAAAATTAATGGAGATTGCCTATCTCCTAGAACTGGAAGGGACCTTGAAAGGTCATCAAGTCCAGTCCCCTGCCTTCACAGCAGGGCCAAGTACCATCCCTGACAATTTTTGCCCCAAGTGGCCTCCACAAGAATTGAACTCACAACCCTAGGTTTAGCAGGCCAATGCTCAAACCACTGAGCTATCCCTCCCCCCAAGGGTTTCTTTCTCTTGCTCTTTCTCTTTCTCTGCCCCCCAAAAGCCAGATTCCCTCTTTCTCTTATTCTGAGCTGGGAGACAGCTGATTTAACAGAACCTGCAGAGGTCTGAGTTGAGAGACGCCAGACAGTCCCTGAGACAACAGCTCAGGTCAATGTTTCTCAACCAGTGGTATGTGTACCCTTAGGGGTACTTGAGAGAAGTGGGGAGGGAGGGGGCATGTCAACACAATTGAAACTTGGAGAAAACTGAATTTTTGTGTTAAGATTTACAGCGCTTTATTATTTTTGTACTTTTGACACCCAACACTTTCTTCGCCCGCACAGCTAGGCTTAAGTTGTTGATACAAATGTGTTCCAATGGTAGAAAAACATTTTGTGGGTCTGAAAACTGTTGGTATTGGGGATACTTATAATTTTTTTAAGGGGTACTTTATAAAAAAAGGTTGAGAAACACTGATTTGGAGGACCCTCTGAGGTCTCTTCCAACCCTGGGATTCTATAATTCTATGATATAAGATCCAGTCTTAAAAGGGGTACTTTATATATATATATATAAAAGGTTGAGAAACACTGGCTTAGGCCACACTTAAAAAAAGTTCAGTTGACATATCTGTGACAGTCAGGGTGGTGATGGTGTGTGTGTGTGGGGGGGGAGGGGGGAATAACCCCCCCCCCCCACCCTCATCCTGTACAGGGCTAGTTCAAAGGAAGTAGGCTTCCGTCAGCATAGTTCCCTTCACTTGGGGAGGCGGAGTTCCTACACCGATGGAAAAGCCCCATCTGTTGGCGTTGGTGGTGTCGGCACTGTGGGATGACACCAGCCAGACTACGGCCAGCGAGCGATGCTGCGAATATCCCTGCAGGAGATCCGTGAGGAAGGGTTATGGAAGAAGCCCCTCTCCTGCTACGGGCGCTCTCCGTACAGAGCCCCAAGGCTGCGTGTTACCCTTGTAATTCAGGGGCCTATCCGGAGGCAGGTCTGCATATCCCCAAGCCGGAAAAAAGGGAAGACTTTCTCCCCTGCAAAAGCAGCTGAGGGGAATGAATAGAGCAAGGCCAAATTTTCAAGGTCAAAAAACAACACCGTGTGGACATCATACTTTACATACACCACAATCCTTTGGGGGTTCCTGCTCACAAAAAGAGGCGTCACCGGGGAGTTTAGAACTCGGTACAGACCTCTGCAGAGCCCCACCGCCCAGATCCCTCCCTCAGGGTCCAAGAGGATCTCCCCTTTCCTCTTCACTGACTCCCTGGCCACCCCCACGGCCCAGGTTCCCCCGTCCCCCACCTCCACCACCCAGCCATGGCTCCCCGCGGTGAACCCCTCGGAGCCCAAGATGCAGCGAGACGGATCAAATCGCTCGGGACGGTAGGGCGGCTCCTGCCGCGTGTCTCCCCATCTCACTCTCTTCCCGTTCTCGGACACGACAAATCGGGGATGAGCCGTGGCCGGATCAAAAGTGACATTTGCTGCAGGGGAGAAAGAGAGAGACAGTCAGAGCGTTGGGGGCAGAGCTTAGCCAGAGGGGAGGGTGTCAGAATCAGCCTCAGCGTTAGAGAGTGAAACTGGGGAATCTACTTTCTCCAAGATGTACCCGGCGCTGCATGGGGAACAGCTCTGAGACCTCAGCAAATTACAGGGAAGAGGCATTCCCTTGGCACAGGTGGGTTACGGCTACTGAGTGTGCGGCGGGTGGGCAGGTGGTGGGGACCCCTGCTGCTGGTGCCAGACTCCGGCTTGCCCCCCAAGCAGAAGCATAGCGAGGGTGTTATGCGCCTGGGGGCAAAGGCCAAATTCCCCCCCTCCATCCTGCCGCCACCGCTGTTGCGTGGTGGGGCCCCAAATTTGCTGCATGCCTGAGCCCAACCCTGGGAGGTGTGTGGGGGGGGGATTTGTACCGCGTCTTCCCCTGCCCTCTCCAGTTTGGGGCCAGGCCCCTGCACTCATTAACCCACCAGCAGAGATGGAGGGGGGTCGGGCTGGGGGCGGAGAGGTGGGGAGGAGGTTGCAGAGGAGGTGGTGGGCTGAGGAGGAGCAGGTGAGCCGAGGGATGATGGGGGGGAGCAGAGGGGGACTAAATTGGCGCCCCCTAGCGTGGCGCCCGGGGGCAACCGCCACCCCCCTTGCTACAGCACTGCCCCCAGGCTGTGTTGCTTCTGGGAGGCGGATTTGCAGGAAGAGGCGGGGCAGGAAAGGAGCAGACTTGGGGAGGGGGCAGAGCGGAGGTTGAGGTTGTCCTGGACTTTCCCTAGCTAGGGGAGGTGCAGGGAGGAGTCGGTGGAGTCATCCTTTCCCATATCTCTCCTCCACGGTGAAACGTGTTAGATGAGTGACAGATCCTTCCTCATCCCAGCACAGCACGTTCGCTTCCTTCCCCCTAAGGCCTGGTGGGCGACTCCCCCAAGTGTGTTCTTTCGGCTGCATGAACTGCACCAGGCCAGCCGGCAGGTTTCCCCTCTTTAGGGAAACCTTCTGACCCCTGGAGCTTGGCCCATGCCTCCTGCTGTCATGGACTCGGTTTTGTTGAGCTTCAGGGCCACCTTCCCTCACTCCAGGCTCGCAGGCCCCCACAAACCAACTTTTCTCCTCAATTCAGGGAGATCATCGCCTTTGCCTCTCCATGTGACTCCTCCCCTCGCCCACCGTAGCCCGAGAGAGGGCTGGGACAACCCCGCCCCCCGTACCGCAGGCCCCGCCCCCTCTCCATATCTACTCCATCCCTGCCCTGCTTCTTCCCACAAGTGACATGGCCCCTGGGGACTAGCAGGGAAGGGGTTGGGCCTCCCCCCGTACTCACCAGCAGCCATGGGGGGAAAGCAGAGAGACCCAGACCCAACCCAATCGCCCCTCTAATTTTTTCCACTCTGGAGTGGAATTAATTTTGTTATGTGCACCAATGTGCAGGCGACGTACACATAAAATTAACGCAGCAGGGGTGGGGCCAAGGGATTCATAGCTGGGAGATCCAGCCCTGCCCCCCAGCCAGGGCAGCATTCCACCTTCCTTTGTTCCTCTCCATGGGGGGTGTCTGGTTCAACAAGTTTGGCATTACCTTTGCATAGTGAGGTTTTCCCTGCTGGGTCTTGCTCCAGACAGCAGGGGTCACCACAGCCCAGCAAGTACCCCCACTACGTCACACCCAGACCCAACCCAATCGCCCCTCTAATTTTTTCCACTCTGGAGTGGAATGAATTTTGTTATGTGCACCAATGTGCAGGCGACGGACACATAACAAAATTAACGCAGCAGGGGTGGGGCCAAGGGATTCATAGCTGGGAGAGGAGGCTCAGGCCTGGGGCACAGGGTTGAGGTGCTGGAGGGTGAGGGCTCTGTCTGGGGCAGAGGGCTCTGGGGTGGCCAGGGAGGAGGGGCTCAGGACTGGAGCAGATGGTTGGGGTGCAGGGGGGGTCAGAGCTGCAGTGGGGATACAAGCTGTTGGGTGGGGCCAAGTTCAGGCAAAGTGTGGGGTGAAGGAGGGTGTTCCAGGGAGAGGACACAACCCCTAGCCAGATGGGAGCCCAGGGCAGGGCACTGCGCCAGGTCACCATGGCCAGATGGGAGCTGAAACTACCCTCTACCCGCAGCTGGGGCTGGGGACAGGCTGCCACAGCCAGAGAGGGGTTGGGGGATCAGGCTGGGCTGTCGCAGCAGGAGCCACGTCAGGGTTGCATTGGAGGCTGGGCTAATTTGAGGCTGAGAGTGGCAGCCCTTCCCTGGCTCCCACAGGTCCCTGGCCTGGGCAGCTTAACTGAGTGCCTGCATGGTGCTAATTAGGCAGCTGCACGGCCACTCAGCCACGCAGCTTAAAGGGATCTTAGGGCTTTGCTGCTGCTGCCGGAGCCAGACTCCTGGGGCGCCCAGAGGCTCAAGCCTCTAGACCCTCCTGCCTATGTCATGGGGGGCATATTCCCCCCCCCCCCATTGCAGACCCTGCCCACAGTGGCCCGAGACTTACCTAGGTTCAACGTGGAGCCAGGTGACAAAGTCTCTAGAAGAAGAAGAAGAAATAAAAGAGTGTGTGTGTGGGGGGGGGAGGTGAACCCCCCTGTGACATCGATTACGGTAAGATCCCCCCAGGGTTCGTTACCAGAAGGGGCTTAGCTCACTGTGCTTGCGGACATGTGTCTGTGCCGACACAAACTCAGCCTTTAGCCCGGTCTTATGGGGGCTGGGTGGGACATGCCGGTGGACGGACGCCTGCTCGGCCGGGTTCCGAACCTGTTCTATTGATTGAAGTGCTGGAGCTGCACAGAGTGAGCTCGAGTCAAAGTTTCTCTAGGTTAAGCTCCAGAGCACCCCCAAGGCTCCTTTCAACCCTCTATTCCCCTCCTTCCATGACCCGCCTCCATGAGCCACCCTCCCATCACCCTCTATTTCCCTGCTACCCGCCCCATCACCTATGCCTTGCCGAGGGCCCTATGTGCCCCCCATGCACCTATCCACCGCACGTCTGAACACTCCAATTTCCCTCCTGCCAGGAGTTGTAACACTCCGTATTTCACACTCCAGAGACCCCATTCTCTCCTCTATACATCTCCCATTTCCAGTGTATCCCACCAGGCTAGAATCATAGAACACGAGAACTGGAAGAGACCTCGAGAGGTCATCGAGTCCAGTCCCCTGCCCTCACGGCGGGACCCAGCACTGTTTAGATCATCCCTGACAGGTGTTTGTTCAACCTGCTCTTAAATATCAACAGGGATGGAGATTCCACAACCCCCCTAGGCAATTTATTCCAGTGTTTAACCACCCTGACAGTTAGAAACTTTTTCCTAATGTCCAACCTAAATCTCCCTTGCTGCAGTTTAAGCCCTTTGCTTCTTGTCCTATCCTCAGAGGCCAAGGAGAACAATTTTTCTCCCTCCTCCTTGTGACTGACCCCTTTTTAGATACCTGAAAACAGCAATCATGTCCCCTCTCAGTCTTCTCCTTTCCAAACTAAACAAGCCCAGTTCTTTCAGTCTTCCTTCATAGGTCATATTCCCTGGACCTTTACTCATGCTTGTGGCTCTTCTCTGGACCTTCTCCAGTTTCTCCACATCTTTCCTGAAATGCGGCGCCCAGAACTGGACACAATACTCCAATTGAGGCCTAATCAGCGCAGAGTAGAGCGGAAGAATGACTTCCTGTGTCTTCCTCCCAACACTCCTGTTAATGCAGCCCAGAATCACGTTTGCTTTTTTTGCAACAGCATCACACTGTTGACTCATATTTAACTTGTGGTTCACTATGACTCCTAGATCCCTTTCTGCAGATCTCCAGTCCCCTCACAGCAGGGCTATGCACCATCTAGATCATCCCTGACAAATGTCTCTCTAACCTGCTCTTAAATAGCTCCAGAGAAGGAGATTCCACAACCTCCCAAGGCAATTTGTTCCAGGGTTTCACCACCAGTTAGGACGTTTTTCCTAATGTCTAACCTAAACCTCCCTTGCTGCAGTTCAAGTCCATTGCTTCTTGTCCTAAAGCTGCTTTTCCCTTTCTATTCCATACCAGGGCCCCCCTCAATCCCGCTTTCAGTTAGGGGTTCTGTGTGCACCCTCATACTTCCTCCCAGGATCAGGGTCCCTCATTCTTTTCCACACAGCAGAAGTTCCATGTGCACCCTCATTCCTCGTACATTTATGTACACACATCCAAGAAAGAATAAGTGAATTTGGCAACACAATAGTATGTAAGTGGACTGTAGAAACCACTGACACCGAATGTCACCGAAGGCAGAAATTTAGTACTTTTCCGAAAAGGCTAGGTAGATAGTTATAGTCTTTATACTTGATTAGGTATTAATATCTATGAGTCGTTATTAACATTTCGTTTGGAAGGATTCGATTTTTAATTGGGAAATGGTGGTAGACGTTGATTTCACTGCACGTACACAAAACGAGGGAGAAAACGTCGCCACTGTTAAAAATCAAAATTGGCCAGAAAGGCAACGTGAGAAAATTCTTTCCTCGGATCTTATTAGAGTTTGATTGAAGGGTATTTTGTGTGTATATTTTGACCTTTGATGTCAACAAGTTGTGTTTGCATCATGACAAAGTTTCAGGCTTATGACATGTATCTGGTGAAGTGGGTCTTTGCCCAAAAAAGCTTATGCTCCAATAAATCTAAATAAATCTATAAGGTGCCACAGAACTTTTTGTTCTTCAAGCTTATGAAATCTCCACAGCTACTGCCATTAAATAATTATTTTACCCTGTTCCCCAAAATACTATACGGGAGTGTTCCCTCTAATCTTTTCCATCTATGAGCAGAATAATTTTTGTTTTGTGCACCGAGGCATGTGCAGATGTGCACCACTAATAGGAAACACATGCTACTGGTTCTGGGCACTGTGGGTGCTCTGCTAATCAGGTGGCAGCATTTGAATCTCTCCTGGGTGCCCGCACGAGCGCTCAGCATAGAAGGAATGTTGCTGAACCACTGTGAAAATTGTAAAATAGATAAAATCTAAGAAAAGGCTTAAAATGAAACATTCATCTGCCAAAATTACCCCCCAAAAATAAATTGAAGACTGTTAGGCTACGTCTACATTGCAGAGTTTTTGCACTAAAACTTGTGGAGCGTCCACACTACAAGTAGGTTTTTGTGCAAGAAAAAGTACAGTAAATTGTCAGAAGACAGGGTTTTTTGTGCAAGAGCTCATGCACAAAAAGGCATGTGCGGACGGACAACAGGGGTTTCTCGTGCAAGAAACCCCTATGATGTGCGGGCGGACAACACGGGTTTCTCGTGCAAGAAACCCCTATGGGAAAAGGCACAGGTGCTCTGGTGGCTATTCTGTGGATGGCCACCAGCGCTTTCTTGCACAACAGTGTTCATGGCAGTGTGGATGCTCTCTTGCACTAGAACTGTTTGCAGAAAATCTCTTCCGCAAAAAGTTCTTGCACAAGAAGCCTGCAAGACATAGCCCCCATGTCTTGCTTTTAGTGCTTTTGACCCATGGATCTTCAAGGAGCTGTATGAAGAATTTTATTCCCATTTTACAGATGGGAAAATGAGCCAGAAAGAGAAAAAATGATCTGCCCAAGGTCACCCAGTAAGCCAGTGGCAGAGACCTTCAGTTTCCTGAGCTGCAGCCAGGAGGACTGGATCAATTTTTTATAGTGGGAGTGCTGACAGACATTGAACCAAACTGTGAATCCTGTCTATAATGGAAACCATTTCAAGTCAGAGAGAACTGTAGCATCCCTGCACCGTTAGTTCCAGCACCTATGGCTGTAGTCCAGTGAATTACCCACTAGGCCAAATTGTTGGATAACAAGATCATCAACAGCAACAGGCCAGCACCCTCGGGACCTGACATGGGCTGCCAGCATATAGACAACTATACAATTAACCAATTAGCCTGGGCTTGTCGGTAAATCCTGCCAACTGCATTCTCTCCCCTCTTGCTTGCTGCCTCTGTATCAGAGGCAGCAAGGGAGGGGGAGGCAGGAGTGGCTGTGGAGCTGCCTTCCCTCCCACATCCGCCTGCCCCCCACCCCAGCACAGAGGTGAGGGGGGCAGGCAGGAGCCAATACATGTGGGGAATCAGCTTGAAAGCCGGCTCACTGGCTCCTGCCTGCCTCCCGCACACTCCATGTGGCAGAACTAGTTCACTGTTGCTGGCTCTGGGGGATTTTGGCCCTGCTGTATTCAGAAAAGCACGTTCCTCCCCAGCTACCAACTGATCCAGGGTTGTCCCCAAGACTACGTCTCCACTGCCAGGTTATTTCGAAATAATAACAACTCCCGAAATAACTATTTTGAAATAAGCTTGTTCCTCGCCACAAGCAGGAGTTATTATTTCGAAGTAAACAAGCCCTTTATTGCAAAATAACAGACTTGGTCACGTGGACACTTGCCTTGTTATTTCAAAATAACTCCCCGATGTAGGCATGCCCCAAAAGCCCCCCGGCTCTGTTGCCGCTGAACTAAAGAGGCCAGCCCTGGCTGGCTGGAGTGCAGGCCATCCATCAGCTGCGAGCATTAGAGATCAGTGAGTAGCCCTGAAGTCCAATGACAGGACGTGTCTCTGTTACCTTTGAACTTCTTCACCGCATCCTGGAGCGAGACGATTTCTCGAGAGAGTTCCTTGATTCTCCTTCTCCAGGTCGGAGGCTCAGCTGCTGGATTTTGAAACTTCCCCTTCATGCATCTACAGAGAAAACAACCTATGTCACCTTCATCTGAACGGTAGCAGAGATTGGGCGACATTTCGGGGGCCTGAACTTCCTGGGTTAACTTCCTGTGTAACTCAACTAATTTGGAATGAGGGAGGAATTCACTGGAGGAAGTTATCAAGAATAGCTTTTAATTGACCCTGCCTTAACCGACAGTAACTTCCCCGGGTAGAAAGGCCTTACTTTCTGCTAGAAGACTCAAAATATTTCCGGGTGGTTGTTGTCGTTCTATTGCCCTTGTATAACTCAAAACATGAAGCTCTGAATTAAAGAGCAATGCTATGGCTGACCTGGGAAAATGTTTAGTCTCTCTTTTTTTTTTTTTTGCTTCTAGATTAGAGTGAGAGATCAGCAGCCCGTTTGTCCAGATGTGGTTCACCAAGATTAGTCCCCAGCGAACATCCAGATGTTTTATTTACCTGTGCATCTGCAGGTATGGCCGCTCACCACTCCCACCCAATAGGAGAAGGAGCATTTTCCATCGCTCCCATTGGCTGAGAATGGTGATCTGCAGCCAACAGGAGCAGCCAGAGGCCACCCTGTGGATGCGCAGGAAAATAAAGCATCAGGTGGTCACCAAGAACTAATCCTAGCCACACATCCCTGCTGTAGATTATTTGAAGAGCATGTCTGAATAAAGGAGACTTTCACATACTTCCTGCCTTCCCCCAATCACTTTGATATTTTAAATACACAGAATTCTTTCAGTGGAATGTTATTGGCATCTATTTTTGTAACTTTCCTGTTGCCTAGCGGCAGCAGGGCACCTTAAATTAATAAGACGTCTGCTATTGTTTGAAATTGAATGTCCTTTGGTGAAAAAGGGCCTGGTCGTTTGGGGATTGGGTTTTTTCCTTCTTCTCTTAAAAGGAATACTGCAGGGTAAATTAAGTGGAGAAAGAAGGATAGATTTTCAAAAGAATGCAAGCCCCATTCATTTTCAGCTTGAGCACTTTACCCCTCAGGAGAGGTTCACAAAGGCCTGTTTACTTGTGTGACTACTTTGGGGCATGTGTGATCTTTTACCAATATAGTTTATAGTTACAATATAGTTTATATTGATAAAAGCTCTAGTGTGAACACAGTTATACCAGTGCGGTCGAACCTCTCTAATCCAGCAACTCTTTGGTCCGGCGACCTCTGTGGTGTGGCTTGATTTGAGTGAGCCGGATGTCCACTTATCATGGGTGGACTCATTTAGGTGCATAGGTATGTATGAGCAGAAAAGAATTCAAGATTATAAAGTTCAGTGCACCTAAATGTTATGTGCTTGGGGGAAGAAAGCTTGTGATTCCTCTGGAGTTTAACAGCTCTTCACAGCTGCTGCTGGGGTTTGAACCAGCGTTCCCTGTAAGCTGTGCACTTGTGTGGCTGTTCAGGAAAGAATCTGCTGCCACCCAGCTGATTAGCACAACACCCCACCGCTGGGTTTTGTGTTTCTCCTGGTGGTGCACATTTGCACATCCCTTGGTGCACATAAAAATTATTCTGCACATGAATGGGAAAAGTTCACACAGAGATGAGAAAAATTAGAAGGAACATTGGTTTGAATCTTAGAATTCTCTTTTCTGTTTACAAGCAATTCATGGCCTGCTGCAGAAGTTATTATAGGGCACCATATTTATGAATCAGTTTGTACAGGGCTGTCTGTTTAAAGGGCAAATAATACATAGCGCCCCAAAATCCATATGCATGTTCAGTCTGGCCTGAAATTGTGTATTTGCAGTCATTTGGTCAGACAGGAACACCCCCCTCCCCCTCCTCACACACACACCACAATACTTTTATTTGTGGAGCTCGGAAAACAAACACTATGCACAGCATCCAAATAAAATTTCTGTTCCTGGACAAATCCTGCACTTATCAAGTGTCAGCATCATGAGCAACATTCCCTGTAAGCAGAGTGCTTGGGCATCAATACAGAGGAAATTCAAATGCCACCCAGATGATTAGCAGAGCACCTAGAGCTGCAGCTGCACATGGTGGTGCACGTGGCTCAGTGCACATAGCAAAATTTATTCTGCACCTGGATGGAACAAAGAGAACATGACCTATGAAGCCAGGCTTCATGAACTGGGCTTGTTTAGTTTGGAAAAAAGAAGATTAAGGGGGGACATGATAGCGGCTTTCAAATATCTAAAAGGGTGTCACAAGGAGGAAGGAGAAAATTTGTTCCTCTTGGTTTCTGAGGACAGGACAAGGAGTAATGGGCTTAAAGTGCAGCAGGGGAGGTTTAGATTGGACATTAGGAAAAAATTCCTAACTGTCAGGGTGGTCAAATATTGGAATAAATTGCCAAGGGAGGTGGTGGAATCTCCCTCTCTGGAGATATTTAAGAACAGGTTAGATAGACATCTGTCAGGGATGGTGTAGACGGAGCTTGATCCTGCCTTGAGGGCAGGGGGCTGGACTCGATGACCTCTCGAGGTCCCTTCCAGTCCTATGATTCTATGATTCTATGAAATTAGCAGGAACATTGACCACGAACCATCCTTGAAAGCGAGTAAGTCAAACATTAAAAACATGTCAT